ACCCTGGCGAGCCGTGTGCCGAACGTTGCCGACCCCTGGTCTAAAGGTATGTCTGTGCTGCAGTTGGAAGTCTGATTGCAGCATGTGTAGAATAATCGCGCTGGCTTTAATCTAACTAGTGTGAGTGCCAAGAGCAGTGAAACCATGGCAGCATGAGCTTCAGCACGCACACTGAAGTTCATACTCCCATGGCTTTAGTGATGTTGGTACTTGCGCTAGTTAGGTTTAAACTAGTTTGGGTATGTCACACCTCTAATTGCAGAGGAGACATACCCTAAAATTCCTTAATGCTTAGCACCCTTTTGGCTTCATTCATGCATAATACTCATTGGGTTTGATTCTGATCTAAATTGCACTGGTATAAATAAGGAGTACTCCACTGAAGTAAATGGAGTTGCATGGGTGTTAAACTGGTATTCTTCCATTCAGAATCAGGCCCATTGATGTGATTCTTGTGTCATTTTACATAGCAAGCAGGTTCAATATGGTGGGCTATGGGGTGTGGTGGAAGTGATTTGTAATAAGAATAATGCATTCTTGAACTAAAACTTGATGAGAAATTGGTGTTCATAGCTGGAACAAGGTTGAATGGTATGGTGTCATGCATAGGCAGGTGAAACCTATTCTTGGAACAACAACAATTAAAGAAGTCTTCAACATGATCTATATTTTCAAAAGCTGAAAATAGCACAACATAAAGTGTTTGTGTACATTTTTTTGTTTCAGCTTTACCCAGGAATGCTAATATCGTACACTGATACTGCAATGCCACATACGAAGGCAAGCCATCAGTTGTGCCAATGTAATCAGAAACTACATTCATTTGTGTTTTATTTCCTTTAATCACTCTTCTTATTTGATAGAGTACTGGGCTTTCTAATAGAAACAGGGAATTTTGGAATTGCTGTATAAAAAGTTTGAAAATTGCTACAAGTCTAGTAATAACATATCATTTTCAGGGTAATTGTTAACTGTTTTGCTATATTATAAAAAAAATGATGTCTACCTGAGAAAATGATGTTAGTACTGGATCTGGTATTACCAACCTAATAATTGGAAAGATTTTTGAATGATATATCCTGTAGTGCAGTGCTGAAATACTGACATGTTAGAAAGCTGTTTTCCTCTTTATGGCAGGGCATATTATATTCTCACTGGTAAAAAGTTCACTCACTGGAATTACTCTTCCACTTTTAACACAGTTGTGCTGCAGTCACCAACATTTTTATACATTATTATCAAGCAGTTCTTATTTAAATTTAAATGTTGATTGTATACTGCAGTTTGATGCCCTTTCTGAAAAATACAGAGCGGTCCTGCTATTAATTTCCCTTAATTAAATACTCACAGTGTTTAAGAAATTAATCTGCAACCCAATAAAAATGTATGAATAAAATGAATATTTATGTAGTAATCCCTAAGAAATCAGATCGTACTTTCAATTAATAGTTGATTTGTTAGAGCGTTAACCAATCCTGACTTCTCATCATGATCCCAGTTTTTAAAATAGCTCAGAGGGTGGAGATGTTTAGAATTGGGAAAGTTTCTTAGAACCTTTTAATATACTGTTTGAAAGTGTTCTGTGCTCTTCTCCTGTATTGTCAAATTCAAAGATAAGGTGCAGAATATTTTAGCTGCTGCCTTTTTTTTCTGCCAGATCATTTTATTTCAGTTTTGGTGGGTCAAAGGTTCTTAAGAACTGATACCAACATTTTCAGACTCTGTGTTTAAAATTTGAAACCTATGTGCTCCCTGGAAGCATGTAACTCCGGTGTTCTGGGATCTGCCCACTGGTGTCCAGGTGGAGTTTAAGGTATTAGTTATGACCTGTGAAGCCCTAATGGCCTTGGACCAGCCTCTCTCCCTGTGCCATACTACCACAGATGCAGTCACAAGGGCACTTTAAAAAAAGTGGGGCAGCTAACAGGGTGTTCTCTGCAAGCACTACAGGATTCTGGAACTTGCTATCTCCCCCTCTTCTCCCCCCCCACCCGGTCTAAAATAGTTGGAACTTTTAGTGATTTTTCAGGCACGCTGCACAAGGCAACCCTTTGACTGGCTTTTTGGAGAAGGCTAAGGATGTGCTATCATTTTAATAATACTTAGATTTAATTGTATTGTCAGTGATGTATTAGGTTGCCTACAGCCTTGGATAGGCATCTTTTAGTTATTTGAATAGAAATAAGTAGAGTAAAATAAGTTATTTAAATGAATATAAGTGGCCTGATTTTCAGAAAAGCTGTGCTCCTGCAGCTCCAATTAAAGTCAATGGTGACATCTCTGAAAACCGGGCCATTTAGTCAGATGACAAAATACAGATTTAGACACACAACTTTAGGCACCCACACGTGAAAATGTTGGCATGATAACAGTGTATCCAGATTGTGTGTGGCTCAGAAATATTTTCTGAGAATCTGAAAACTAATTTTAACAAGCTTTTACAGGTAATGATCCTTCCATGTGGAACAGAAGGTGGAATGAATGAAAACAAAAATGGAAGCCCTACGTATGTTTGCTGCATGGTGAAAGCAGAGCAGGATTGAGCACTACTAGTTTGTAATAGGTAATATGCACTTTTTTGACACCTTCATTTTTCTTCTCTCATGTTTAGGGATCGTACACAAAGGAAATGGAGAAAACATGTTCATTTCCCAGCAGCCACCAGTCATCTCAACGGTCATGGGTAACGGACACCAGAGAAGTGTCTCCTGCTCCAACTGCAATGGTCTTGCTCTCAGCAGCAAACTCTTTGCCCCGGTTGCCTTGGCTTCTGGTCCGGATGGCAGTGTGTATATTGGAGACTTCAATTTTGTCAGACGCATCTTTCCCTCGGGAAATTCCATTAGCATTTTAGAATTAAGGTAGGAAATCTTGGAGTTTATTGATTGGTGGTCAGATCTTTTAATGTAAGCTATGAGAAATACAGTGAAATGTTTTTAAGGGACCTAAGGGACTGACCAAATTTGACTGCTTATTAGAAACATGTCTTTCTCTCTAAGCATCAAATTTACCCCAAAAACCTTGGGGTTACCTTAAAGTGACCACTTAAGAGGTGCAGTGGGGAAGGTTGCCTATGTTAGATGGTGTTTAGTGTTTAGTACAGGTTTCACATAATTAATCAAGAAACCTACAAGTTGAATAGTCTGAGTCTTCTCTCCCCTATATTTTTCCTATTTAGATTTTCAAAATAGAATAAGATTTTAAAGTATTTTTTCTTAAAATCAACATAACTCCTGGTGGAATATTTGAGTTGAGAAGCAGGTATGTATGTCAGCTCAGAGATAGCAATAGCCACTTTGCCTGCATGTACTGTAGATGGACAGATCAAGTTCAGAAGTACCCAAATTGTTCTCCATCTCTTCTGGAAAGCACAGCAAAGTAGAGCTGGACTGAACTTGAGACCGGCACAGGCCATGGGCATTCCAAACTAGTATCTGTCAAACCAGGTGTTGCTATGCCACCAAAAAGCTACCCTGCCACAGCTTACCCCCTATAATTGACACTTTACCCAGTTTCACTCTAAGGGACACTATAGGTAACTATAAAATTGTTCTGGACCCTAAACATTACCATAAAGCATGTCTCTCACTCATCATTGGCGTGCTGCCGCCTGCCTCACTTCAGGCTTGATCCTACAAGGTGCTGGGTGCCCTCAACTTGTGTGGAGGTCAGTGGGAGCACTCAGCACTTTTCAGGATCAAACCCTTACATACACCAGTACTGAAACACACACAACTATTTTCAGAGTGGTAGCCGTGTTAGTCTGTATCAGCAAAAAGAACGCGAGGAGTACTTGTGGCACCTTAGAGACTAACAAATTTATTTGGGCAGAAGCTTTCAAAAGCTCATGCCCAAATAAATTTGTTAGTCTCTAAGGTGCCACAAGTACTCCTCGTTCTTTTTTCACAGAACTATGTTCCATGTAATGTATAGAGGCCACACTAAACCTATATTACTCATCAAAACACGTGGTCATGTAAGCAGCTAGCATGGTTAGAGTACAGTTGCACATTAATTGTTCAAGATGAGGTTGGAGATGTGTGTACTGTGGTTGGTGGAAAGGAAGCAACTGAATTTGAGAGGGAGAAATTAATGGAGTAGAGATGAGATGTTGAATGATTTAACTGCTTATGTCTTAATTGTCTACAATTTACATTGAGGGGATATACAAAGTTAACTGTGTTTTCGTATGGCTATATGTCTATGTGAGGTACGGTAAAGGTACGTATTATGTTGGTTTGGTTTGTTCATTGATACTGATGTTTGTTGTTTTGCTTTTCTTGTGGCTCCTGGATTGATTTGTCGTATTAGGAACAGAGATACAAGACATAGGTAAGTAAATCACAGTGCAGTTATGCATGCATCCAACTGATTTAAGAGATCATTTATAAACAAGCAACAAGGAATATTCCTAAACAAAGGAATTTTTTAAATGTAGGCTTACAGAAACAATGTGTCGTTATCAAATATGAATGTAAATCAAATTCAGTTTATTTGCTTTAGAGAAGCATAGGTTTGTTCACTTTACATGGATCGCCTCCCCCACTAACCTGAAAGAATCTGAGCTTAATCAGCAAGGCACAGTGTAAAGTTTTCCACCTGAAGAGTGACTGAGGTTATTGTTAAAGGTAACTCAGTTATTTTATTAACTTCTGTTATATTAATTTTGTATTATATCGTAGATACGCACTATTAGGGAAATTGGAATGGGTACATTTTAGAAATGGAAAAATAAATAAAAGTCTCTAGAGGAGGACTAGAGAGGTTTGTAGTTTATTAACTTATGGCTAGCTTGTAACTGTGGACACTTCCCTGAGTAAGGGGCAGTGCATAGCTGAATTGCTCCATGAGCAGCCCTGAGGGTAGGACTACACTGCAATCAGCCGTGTGACTGCAGCACATGTAGATATACTTGAGTTAGCTTTGATCTGGCTAGCTCGGATAGCAGTGAAGCCACAGCAACATAGATGGCAGCACAGGCTGGCAGCTTGAACTTTTACACAGGGTACATGCTTCTCCAATGGCTTCACAGCTGCTGTTGTGTGAGCTAGCTAGCTCAAAGCTAGCTCAGTATGGCTAGACGTGCTGCAGTCACATCACTTACTGCAGTGTAGACCTGCCCTTGGTGAGTCACACTCTTCCCCCCTGCTTCTCCTTTGCTCTGCAGAGGAAGCAAGTTACTTCCCTCTTTCTCATGGAGTCCCCACTGCACTCAGTCATCGATACCAGCCAGCAAGTAGTTGAGGGGGAGAAGGGAAGGGCGGACAAGGGCTCTTCCCATTCCCTCCATCCACTTGCTTGCAGCAAGGTGCACTGGGCAAGTAGGCCTTGCTGTCCTCACCACACGTAGAGTTTTTGTTGAGTATTGAGCACGTGGGGCCCTTACTTCCCTTGTGTGGCTAAGGCGGCTGTGACAACTTCTAAGGGCCGTAGAAATAACCTACAAAAGATTAGAAAGAACAGAGAGCTGCTGAGCATCAGGTTGCTTTCCCTAGAAACAAGCTCTTCAGCCTCCTGATATATTATTTTAAAAAGCAGGTAAATAAACCAGGATTGATGCAGCCCGTTTGGATGATTGCATGGCGTAGTAGGGAGAGTACAGTAGTAGACTGAACCAAATTCAAAAAAATGATTTTAAAATGGTATGTTTTAAGGGTTGACATGACAATCATTGTTATTAGGTTTTAGCCACAATCATATTATTGAATATGATAGTTTGTTTGCCACCGTTCTTATCAAAGATATAATCTTTCAGGCATTTTACAACAAAAGCTTGAGAGAAAGTGACAATTCCTGGCTAATTGCATGCATCTCCAGAGTTTGTTTTAATGATTGTTTCCATTTGTTATGTATTAAACCTGTCAAAGTCCTTCAAATTTTATGAAGTTGAAAAGAGGAAAATTGAATTTGTTCAGTCTGGAATGACAATTGTCAACAAAATGATATTAATCAGGGTTTTAATTTTTGTTTCTCTTTCTGAAATGATTTTTTCTAAATACCAGTGCACTAGAACAAAATACACTAGCTTCTTTGGATAGGCTTAAATCGTAGTTAAATTTAGTCACGTGTCAAACTGCTTCCCACTAAAGTGCTGTTGGGTATTAATTGTAAGTATTAATTGCCTATTTGCAAAGCTATATTATTCTGACTAGCTTAAGTGAAGTGATTTGTGGTAAATTGGAGGGCATCACTTGGAGATAATACAGGCAATGAGGTTATGGAAAGTCTGTTTACAGTCCTTACTGTACACAGCTTTATTGTGGCTTTAAAAGCCACAGCCAATTTACATTAGGAAAGGGTGTGGGTGGACACTAGGCTTTCTTCCTAGGGAGGACACAGGAATGCAGAATGCTTCCAGACTGCTAAAGAGCACAAGCAGGAGCAACCACTAACTATCCCCTTTGGGACAGTCTGAGTAAACTGCAGTATGGAGTCAGACCACCACAGAGTGAGCTCCTGGAATACCCCGGAGCACTGGGGAAGGTCTCATGCTACACCCTGCCTGAGGATGCTCAGCCAGCTCTTCAAACTCATGCAGAGGGAGAGCAGGGATGTGGCCATTTTGAGGTGGGTTAGCATATCCAAGGGATATAGGGAAGTTGTCTCTGTACTACCCTAACAGAAGGACTGCAACTGTAGCCCCTCCCTGCATAGGTGTGATTGTGGCCCGCCCTTTCAAGGCTCATTCCTTCCTCCTCCCCTCATAAGGAAAGGCAATAATCTAGCCCAACAGTTCTCAAACTTTAGTAACCCCAGGACCCCCATTTTAATTTATATTTTTGTGGACCCCCCCAAGCACCCCGCTCAGCCCCAGACTCCATCCCCACTACACCCTTTCCCCCAAGACCCCACTCCACCTCTTCCTGCTTCACCCCTGCCCTTCCTCTTACCCGCCTCTTTCCACCCCCTCCCCCAAGAAATTGTCACAGCTGTTCTCCGGGGTGCAGGAGGTGCTCGGAGGGATGGGGAGGAGTTGATCAGCAGGGCCAGCAGACCCCCCTGGAGTACCCTCGTGGACCCCAGTTTGAGAAATGCTGATCTAGCCCCTTAATAGTTGCAATATGCTCTCCTCCTGATGCCAGCCCATACTGCTGACTGGGGCAGAGGGAAGACAAGGCCACCACCCCCTCCACCTATGCACAAGCTGCTGTGTTTAGTACATGGTGCTTTGTCTCCTTATAACTTGAACTCAGAAAGCAGAAGCACCAGAATTTTGGCTGCTGACAGCATAGGTATGCAAGGGGGAAAGGGCTTCCAAATTCCAGCCCTCAACACACTTCTCCCTCTCAAAAAGTAGGGAAAAGAGATGAACTTCAGAACGTACCTTGAAAGGTAAAAGATTCAGGCAATTTGAGACCTTGTGTGGGAGAGAATCCCAAACTCTAGGGCTGCACACGCAAATTGCTTCATAGTAACTCCCCTTTTTTTATTTATACCATGGGGAGGCCTCTCTGTAGCAATATCACATGAGGAGAGAGACAATTTCTCATATAGTCAAGTTTAATCCCATTTATGTGGTGGCAGAAGGGGAGGGGTTTGTGGGTAAAACTAGTAAATTGGAGACTGGTTGTATCCATGTGATGGATTTTATGTCCTGTCCTTGAGATTATTTTTTGGGTGCTCGGCTGCCTCCTTTTGATGATCACTTTATAGAGAGTATTCTATTTTTTCAGATTCTTATACAGTGCCTATGTACATAGTCTCTGAGCACCTGCCCATTAAACAATATGACTGGCATCTGTCACATGCCATCCTTTCCTTCTTTCTTCTTTCCTCTCCTCAAGGGGAAATTACATGTAGATTGGGTTTATTTTAAAAGGTGGAACAACACTGTGGGGATCATGGCATGTACACAGAGTGTGATTCCATGGGTTTGAGTAACTTCAATTTTTGGAAATATTTTGTTTGTTTCACTTGAAAACATTTCCGTTAAAAAAGATTGATATTCTTAGTATGGGAGAGAGTTTTTTGACTGTGTGGGGTCAGGATGGTCCTGTTTGTTTTCTCAGCATTCTGTAATCAGGATCTAACATCTGGTAATAAAGCTATTTATTCTCTCTCCACTTCACCAGTTGCCAAAGATAAAGAACTAAGGGAAGGGAATAATTTGTTCTGAAATGAATCATTGTTAATTTTCATTTATTAATCTACTTGGTACAGTTTTTAACAATGCTAATTAAAAATTGTCCCAGGTTTGGATATGATTCCAAACTTTCCATAAGATGAGAAGTATTTGGTTCTGCCCGATCTCTGCTAGTAATATTTAAATTCAAACATTTTAGCATTTAAGATTTTAAGCATAGATAACATCAAGAGGTTTCTAATAGCCAGTGTATTAAACCTAATCACATGGATGACTGAAAACATATCTAAAAGGAGAGTACATAATGACCTCTAGTGCTTTGTGGTTTTTACCAGATGAATAGAGTACATTTATTTAACATCTTGCATTCTACTAGCAAATTTTTCCATACTGGTATTTTATGGAAAATCTTTTGTTTGGTCAGACCGGGTCTCTTTTGAACTTCAGCTGCAAATACCAGAAATGGCCTTTCTTACAAAATGTTAATTAACTTCAGAATAATGACAAACTTTAATTCAGCAATTAATCACATTTACTCATCCTTCTTCCCCCACCCCAATCCCTTCTCTCAGCACCCTGTCCTTTCTCCATATCTCACATCCCTCTATTCAGTCTGTCAGTATCTCTCTCTCCATGCCTCCGTCTTTTCATATAAGCTTATGATCAGGATTATACTAGCCTGGTTTATGTCCTGATCCTGTGAGGTGCTGAGTACTTGAGTCCTTTGGATGTCAGTGGGAGTTGAGGTTTCTAAGCACCTTGCAGGATCAGGCTCTAACTATCAAACTTATGTCACAGGCTTTTTATAATCTTTCACCAGTGGAAATAAGATATTCTAACTGACCCTCTACTAGAGGAGTTGCAGCAATGTACAAAGCACCAAATAGACTAATAAAATAGAAGAAATGGAGCAAAGAATATATATCTGTTCATACCCATTACCAATATAGTTCATAACGTACTTTTCCATTGATCTGTAACATTGCCCAGTGATGTAGGACCATCTAATAAATGGTCAATAAAACCTAGTTATCTCCCTCAGTCAGTCAAAGGTTTCATATTTAAAGTGACTCCTTCAGCTTAAAATCTAATCAGTATACAAAAAAAGGGCAGGGGGACATTAAAAGTACTTTCAGGCACTACACTTGCCCTGGAATACCTGCCAAATGTGGTGATTTTAAATTACATTTTCTTTATATTGTTTTTTTCTCTTCCCTGTTGTGTAAGACCCACACAGACAGGGGAAACTGGTTGTACACAAAGCATTGTCAAATGCACCAAAAACAGACTGGAAAAAAAGTAGAGTAACACATCTTTTCTCTCACCTCTTTCCATTACATTAATCTCAAGTGTTCACTGTAACAATAGTACTAAAACATTTTTTCTGAAAGAAGTGATTTTTTTTCACAGTGTTTCTTTAAACTACATGACAGTTGAATATTTTAACAAAGAGTGTATTTCAGTAAGAAATTTAAATATGGGGTATTGAAACAGAAAACCACAGACTGGCTTTGAGGCATGTTCCAGAAACATTGGAAGCAGTAGAGAGAATTCTCTTTCTCAGATGCTTGACTGGTGGGTCTTGCTCACATGCTCAGGGTCAGGAAGGAATTTTCCCCCAGGTCAGATTGTCATGACCTTGTGGGGAGTTTTGCCTTCTTCTGCAGTATGGATTGCTTGCTAAGGTCATCTGGGTATATGTCAACAAATCAATTCCCTGCCATTGCAGGGACCTCGTTCCCTCCTGTTCTCTGCCTGTGGAACACAATAGTTTAGTCTCCTGAGAGCTGTAATATTTTAGTCCAGTGGTTTTCAACCTGTGGTTTGCGGATCCCTGGAGGTCTGCAGACTATGTCTAAGATTTCCAAAGGGGTCCGCACCTCCATTTGTAATTTTTTAGGGGTCCACAAATGAAAAAAGTTGACAACCACTGCTTTAGTCTGATACAGGATATTGGTCTCAATACAGGTAACTAGATGGGGTTCTGTGACCCATGATGTGCAGGAGATCAGACTATGATCTGATGGTCCCTTCCAGCCTTAAACTCTGTGACTCTGTAAAGATTCTAGTATAGCTGATGGCCAGAAATTACCGTCTCCCTCCAAAGAGAGCATTGCTGTGTTATAAGTCAGTCTGTTTCCCAGAAGTACCTTAGGAAACCATTTCTGGTGGTAAAAAATCCATTGTGTGTCTCTGGCAGTGCTTGGAACTTCTACAGATGTTGGCTAACGATGGTCCTAATCATGCCTGCACTGAGTCGCCTTGATGTCAGTGACCCTATGCCTAGGCTTCAGAGCCTGTCCACACTGATCCCTTCTTGTGACCAGGACCAGTGTTAGCCAGTGTTTGCAGGATGCCTGCAACCTTAGCAGGATTAGGGCCATTGTCTGCACTACTTGCCATCCTCTCTCCAAACTGACATGGATCATAAAGCAGTCAGAGAGAAAACAAACAATCTGATTGGCTAATGAGATGCAGTCCAGTTCACCAATTAGAATTTGAGCCTCATCGCCTAATTAGCATATATATACATATTTTAAAATAATGTTTCATAATTGCAATAAGGCAATCCAGTTAATGAATTATGGTGCATTAATTCATGCCTAGTTGCATTAATGGTACTTGGCCTTCCGCCTTGCTCCTGAAAATGTACTAGGAATGAATTAATGCACTACATTTCACATCATGGTCTTTCTTAATGATTAAATAAGGTTAAAAATAATCTGAAGTGGATATTTGTGCTCATCCGGAATAGTCTATGGTGCACCCTGCTGCTTCATGCAAGTTGTAGATTTGTTTTTGAATGCTGAAAGTAATAACATGTACCGCACATATGAAAGTAAGGCTTATGCCACTGAAAGTAAATACTACAAACAGGGAGAAAGATGAACAAATTAATTTTGTGACTTTGCTCTTCTTTGTCTTAGCACAAGTCCAGCTCACAAGTACTACCTGGCTGTGGACCCAGAGTCAGAATCCCTTTACTTGTCAGATACCAACACCAGGAGAGTCTACAAAGTGAAATCTCTCAGTGAAACAAAGGATTTGGCAAAGAACTATGATGTCCTGGCAGGGACAGGTGAACAGTGCCTTCCGTTTGATCAGAGTCACTGTGGAGATGGTGGGAGGGCATCAGAAGCTTCCCTCAACAGTCCTAGAGGTAGGGAAACTATATATTTAGTGTTTATCTTAATTGTGTTGAGCTTTTTTTTTCTTAATTACAGTGAAACTCAGATGAAGTTGGCTATATGAAACTGGATTTAAAGTGACGTATAATCCTCCAACCATAATTATATTATTCTAAACTTTCAGGCAAACACTATGGGTGGAAGGGTCAATTTGTCAGTTGATGCATACAAGTAAATTCTAGTAATGTTAATGAAGTTTAGGCATACGCATTAAGGAAGACACAAGGCATCAATGTACTTCAAACTGAGATCCATCACAGTTAGTGCTTATTTGGAAATCACTAATTTGCCCAATCTCATTAACTACACCTTATCAACGTCTCACTTGTTCTGAGTAAAATAATAAGTTTGATGTAGCTTTTTGTCCAAAGTAAATATTGTATTGCCAGGGACTTGATATACACAAAGCCTTGAACCATCAATAGCACTAAAATCCAATCTACTTGCACTGTGCCTTAAAACTACTGTAAAACACAGCATAAGGGCTTGATCCTGCAAGGAGCTAAGCTCTATTCTATTGAACTCTATTCCAACTTCTATTGAAGTCAGTTGGAATGAAGGGCACTCAGCCCCCCGCATACAGAGCCCCAAGTGAGCTGCTATTTGTTCATTCCTCTTAGCACCCTGCAAATTCCTAATGAATAGCTCTAATAAGGAAAAGTTGGATTTTTTTTGTCTGAGCTAATAAGGGAAAGTTGTAGATCAGTACAAAATTAAAATGTATTTCCAAGGTAAAGCAATGAACCCTGTTTTAAGACGTATTCAGTAACATATTGTAGCTATAGCCAGAGTGACTTAACGTGTCTTCAGTGATGGAAGGTAAGTGCGAGGTAAGGACAAATAAATGTTAATCTTCAGGCAGCTAATTAATATGCTGAATCAACTCTAAAAATAGAAGGAAACATACCACCCAATGTATTATTGCTGGCCACGATTGATTATATCTAATTAGAATACAATTTGCTGTTCTGTGTTGTTTACTTACAGAGGAAATATCTTGATGGAAATTTCTTACATGGCAGTTATATATTTGGCTTTCTAAATACAAGGTTAAAGTTATAAGGGAAAATGAATTTTGTTGTTGTTAACATCTGATTTATGAACTGCTGATTGACACTGAAAATGCTGTTCATGAGTCATGGAGCAGCCAGCCAAAACAAAATGAACAAAATGCATATAGTAAACTGCAACCTGATAATGGCAAGGCAAGTGGTGAATTCTGATTACAGTTCCTGATTGGCTCTGAATTAGGTGCATGCTATTATTTTTATAACCTTGGTTCCCCCACCCCACTTGTTCGTTTGTCTCAACCACCTGTTATGTCTTGTATTTCCGTTTGTAAACTCTTTGAGGTATGGACAATCATTTTCCATATAGAAGTACAGTGCCTAGCATGATGGAGCCCCAACCTTCAACCACTTCTGCAATATGCATGTTTAATAATAATAATAATTAATAAATAATTAATAATGCTATATTAAACTCATTAAAACAGCAGCTACCATAATCTCTCCAAGAATGTAAATTCCAGCTTGAGAGTAGAATCATAGAAATGTAGGGCTGGAAGGGACCTCAAGAAGTCATCAAATCCAGCCCCCCATGCTGAAGCAGGACCAAGTAAACCTAGACCACCCCGACAAGTGTTTGTCCAACCTGTTCTTAAAAACCTCCAATGATGGAGATTGCACCACTGTCCTTGGAAGCCTATTCCAGAGCTTAACTATTCTTATAGTTAGAAAATTTTCCCTAATACCTAATCTAAATCTCCCTTGCTGCAGATTAAGCCCATTACATCTTATTCTACCTTCAGTGAACATGGAGAACAATTGATCACAATCCCCTTCATAACGTTCCTTAACATATTTGAAGACTGTTATCAGATCCCCTGGCAATCTTCTTTTCTCAAGACTAAACATACCCATTTTTTTCATCATATTTTCTAAACCTTTTATCATTTTTGTTAAGCTCTTCTAGACTCTCTCCAGTTTGTCCACATCTTTCCTAAAGTGTGGCGCCCAGAATTGCACTCAGCTCTCTAGCTGAGGCCTCACCCATGCCAAATAGAGTGAGACATTTATCTCCCATGTCTTGCATACAACACTCCTGTTAACACCCTAGAATATTAGCCTTTTTGCGTCTGCATCACACTCTTGACTTACATTCAATTTGTAACCCCCAGATCCTTTTCAATGGTACTACCACCTAACCAGTTATTCCTCATTTTGTAGTTGTGCATTTGATTTTTCCTTCTTAAGTGTCGTACTTTTCACTTGTCTTTATTGAATTTAATTTTGTTGAATTCAGACCAATTCTCTAATTTGTCAAGGTCATTTTGAATTCTGATCCTGTCCTCCAGAGTGCTTGCATGCCCTCCCAGCTCGGTGTCTTCTTCAGATTTTATAAGCAAACTCTTCACTCCATTAACCAAGTCAATAATAAAAATATTGACTAATACTGGACCCAGCACTAACCTCTACGGGATACTAGATATGCCCTCCCAGTTTGACAGCAAACCATTGATAACTGCTTTTTGAGTACCATCTTTTAACCAGTTGTACACCCACCTGATAGTAATTTTCATCTAGACTGCATTTCTCTAGTTTGCTTATGAGAATGTCATGTGGGACTGGGTCAAAAGCATTAGTAAAATCAAGAAATATCACCTTTACTACTTCTCCGCTATCCATTAGGCTAGTAACCTTGTCAAAGGAAGATATTAGGTTGGTTTGGCATGATTTGTTTTTGACAAATCCATGCTAGTTATTTCTTATCACCTCGTTTATCCTCTAGGTGTTTACAAGATGATTGTTTAATAATTCATTCCAGTATCTTTCCAGGTATTGAAGTTAAGTTGACTAGTCTATAATTCCCTGGACATCTGCATTCCCCTTTTTAAAGATAGGTACTATGTTTCCCTTCTCCAGTCTTCTGGGATCTCATCCATCCTCCGTGAATTTTCAAAGATAATCACTAATGGTTCTGAGATTGCTTCAGCTAATTCCTTAAGTACCCTAAGTGTGAACTTCATCAGGCCTTGCTGACTTGAATACAAGTAACCTATTTAAATAACTTGTTCTTTCCCTGTGTTGGCTTTTGTTCCTTCACTCTTGTTGCTAATATTAATTGTGTTGGATATCTGGTCACAAATAAACTTTTTAGTGAGGGCTGGCGCAAAATAGGTATTAAACATCTCAGCCTTCTTGATGTTGTCAGCGTTTAGCTCTTCCATCTTCTTCCACTTTTTTCATCTTTCTCTTGCTCCTCTTCTTGTGACATTTTATGTCCCTTACTACGAGTAACTTATTTTGTGCCTTAGCCTGTCTGATTTTGTACCCACATGCTTATATTATTCTTTTGTTTTCCTCAATAGCAGTTCTTCCATGTTTCCACTTTTTGTAGGATTCCTTTTGATTTTCAGGTCACTTAAATGCTCCTGATCAAGACAAATTGGCCTCTTACTCTTCTTTCTGTCGTTCATTCACATCAGGATAGTTTGCAGTTGTGCTTTTAATATTGTCTCTTTGTTAAGCTGCCAGGTCTCCTTAACTCCTTTTTCCCTTAGATTTTCTTTCCGTGGGACCTTACGTATCAGTTCTCTGAGGTTGTTAGTCTTCTTTTTTGAAGTCCTTTATTCTGCTGCTCCCCCTCCTTCCTGTCTTTAGAATTATGAAATGAACCCTTACACCCAAATTGCCTTCTACTGTCAGATTTGCTACCAGTTCCTCTCTGTTGGTCAGAATCAAGTGTAAAACAGCAGTCCTGGTTACTTTCTCCACTTTCTGAAACAAAAAGTTGCTCCCAGTACATTGCAAGAACTTACTGGAAATTTTGTGTTTTCCTGTATTACTTTTTCAACAGGTGTCTGGGTAGTTAAAGACCCTCTTACTACCACGTCTTGTGTTTGGATATTTCTGTTGTTTGCCTCATCGGCCCTCTTTGCGATTTGGTGATCTGTAGTAGACCCATACCATTGTGTCATCCCTATTTTTTACCCCCTGTATGTTTACCCAGAGACCTTAACTTGTTTGCCTCTCACCTCCTTCTGGACATCAAAACAAGTGTATATATTCTTGATGTATGGTGCAGGACCTCCTCCCTTTCTTATCCTGCCCGTCCTTCCTGAACAAGCTATACCCCTCTTTATCAATATTCCAGTTATGAGACTTATTCCACTAAGTATCTGTAACACCAATTAAGTCATAATTTAGTTGATGTACTAATACTTCTAGTACTTTCGGTTTGTTCCCTATACTCCCTGCATCTGTGTATAGACCTCTTAAGATGCTGAGCAGGTTACTCCACTAACATCCCTTTTGTTATTCCTATGACCCTATTGTAATTTTCCATGCTGTCCCCAACATCTAGCCCTCTGGTTAAGGTCACCTTTTTGTGCTTACCTGTGGTCTCTTCTCACCTGCTCCCTTCGAACCTTGTTTCAGACCTAAATACATACCTGTGTTAGCTCCAATTGAGATAATGTGCTAAAAATAGTATAGCCGCAGTTGCTTGAGGCGAGGGGGAGGATTGCCCTGAGTATGTGCCTAGTGTGTTGGCGGCATACATACTCGGGGTGGCTAGCCCCTCGCACCACTGTTTTTAACTTGCTAGCTTGATCACAGCTAGCGTGGGTATGTCCCCTCAAGCTGGAATTTACGGTTTCCACCCCTAGTGTCAACATACTCTTTAAAATCCTGGAATGTGTAGGAATATAAAAGCACAAAAGCATTATTGTTTGTTTATTTATCTGCACTGGGTGAAAGCTGTTTCAGAGATTATTTAACTTTTTGGTTTTTTTAATACTTGTATTGTTCAAATAAACAAAAAGAAAGCTTATTGCATAATTCAGGAGCCTGCAGCAGCTTCTAAAACTCTTCTATTTCATTTCCCTCAGTATCATTACCTGAAGGTGATTATATTTAGATGTCCTTTTGTGGAAAAAATAGAATGATGAATGCCAACAATGAAATTTCAG